TATAAAATATATACATAGATATATATATATATATATATATATATCTTTAATTGGAGGTTTTTCTTTTTTTTTTTAAACGACATTTATTGTTTTCCTATTTTCCCGATTATTCAGCATCTAAAAAGAAAGACTGAAAATTCAACCAAATTGAAACTCTTTGGTATTCTTGGTTTTTCGGCTTCTTATGGGCAAAATCGTTCCAAAAATTTTGGTTTGTGGCAAGGTATCGGTGCTTTTTTGTGAAAAATATTACGTGTTTTTTTTTTCGGACCATCAAACTAAACCCGGGTACAGAAAGGGTACCTCCACTAGGTGCAGCTCCAACTGCTGTTCTTCCAATCTTTAGTTGCAGTTTGGAAATCTTGCTGATTTATGAAACAAACTTAGATTTGCTGGAAAAAATGCGGCGTGACGTCCGAGCAGCAGAGCAAGTGAGGCGACGACAGAACGAAATATCGAAAAATCCTAATTTTGGACGAAAGCAAACATTGGATTATTTGTTTGGAATTTGTGCGGAGCACGAGAGCACTGTTGCGGAATTTCAAGAAATTTTACAAACACTGGAGAATAAAATTTCCAACAAGCTGAAGAAGGTTTGGTTACTAATGGCTATCACCATTATTACAGATTTCTATTATCACAACTTAGCTCTATAACAATAGTTATTATTGCAACATAGAACAAATCTCCGACCAAAAGTCCAGTGACTTTCCACATTTGCGTTCAGTGAGAGACGGAGGCACGTGGAAATTACCCTTAGCAGTAATAATACGTCGTCTTATGCACGTCCTAATTATGCCATCCAGTACCGGTTCAGCCCCTACATTTCCAAATTCCATCTGCTCGCAGGGCCCAAACGGCCCGTGGGGTCCTTTTCTCGTCCCTGAAAAGATTGCTGCCTGTAGTGATGGTGGCATAGCGATACGCTTCACTGAATTGCTATTAGTGGCGAGTATAAGTTTGGCCAAACCGCCATATTTCCAGCCGGCTGTAGTACAACGTGAGAACGGGCCGAGCCGCGAACTTGTAAAATGCAGCACGGCCTGGCTCATCAGGGCTCAGCCGCGAACATGAAGTGAAATCCTATTGACCCGGAGTTGAGCTTAAAAACTGTTGTGGTAGGATTGAAGGTGGGTGGAGAGGAGGAGGAGATGATTAAGACAGCAGAACTGTAGGACTAAGAACATGAGGCATGAAACCGTATGTCATGTTGTAGAGTCATGTGAAAAGGAATCATATAGGAGAAAAATCTGCCTGTGTTTCATTCCTTAGTTATAAACACAGAGAGCATCCTGATGCGAATAAAGGCGGTAATCATCAATACAGCCGTCTAATTGCAGCGCAATAAAATCAAGTAATAAGCTGCTGAAGAGAAAACTGGCGGAAATGTGGAACAGCAGAAGAGAGTCGGATCAGCACTAAGACACAAAGAAAAGACAAGATTAAGAGAACAGTAAAAGGGATAAGAAAACAGTGAAAGGCATAAAAAAAACGGGCAAAACTTGAACAGTAAAAGGGATAAGAAAACAGTGAAAGGCACAAAAAAACGGGCAAAACTTGCGTGAAGTATAAGGCATCGCCCTTGCTGTATCCTTGCGTCGTCATGATTCAGTTATCTGGAAGTGACGATAGAAAAAGGTTAAATACGATAGGTACAGCGCACAACAATGCCAAAGGGCATTATAACAATTGGAAAGTAATAATGTACAAATGTTCCTGATGCCATAATCGTTACAGCATACACAAATTTGCTAAGTATGGTTCGATTCCTAAAGGCAGCCTCGTTGACTTGGTTTGACGAAACGTCTTATCTCGCTCTCACCTTCTCCAATCTACACTACTACTTTCTCCAACATCTTCATACTCTGCCGTGTGCACTTCCAGTGTTAACCTGGGAGCTGCAATCTGCTTGACGACTAATTAATGTGCCGCGCTGAGTGTGGCTAATTGTATTGTTGCGTGGTTAGAATAAATAGCAACGCGCACCAGACTGGCCGGTGCGATTATGCGTTTTGTACAATTCAGCCCATCGGACGATTGCCTATTAATGATTTTCACTGCTTTGTATTTTAGTCTATGCAAAAATAGTTCAAACATTGGAAAATAGTTAAAAATTCCACGCACCAGCGCATGAAAGTTGAATTCGAGACCTTTAACGGTGAATATCTTTCCGTGATTCTTGACATAATAATTTACTCGTAAAAACTTTCACTAGCCCGTAGGTGGTACCCGAGAGCGCGGGAACGCTGAATTTGAATAGGCAAGGTCGAGCGTGGGCGGGGGGTCATTACCCTAAAATTTCAGCCTCCTAGACTCCGTGGTTTCCGAGGTATTAATTTACCCATAAAAGATTTCAAAATCAGTTTTAAATTAGTGCGTATTAACTCATAAGGAAATCAATTTTTTTAGATTTTTTTTTAAAAAGAAGATAAATTTTTCAGAAAGATTTGGTAACGAAAAAAGATTTGCAAATGCATTTCGAACATTACGATCGAGCATTCAAAGTAATCTGCGTAGATGTATGCCGATGCAAAACTGCTGTTCAGGTATTTCTTGCTTTTTCCTCTTCGATAATCCAAATTTACTGGTTGTTTCGTGCACAACGTTTTATAAAACGCCGATGGCAAGGAGTACTGAAACGAAATTAGCTCACCACTGATTGATTTCTGTTTTTTTTTTTCCTTTCTTTTCATCGATCGGTGTTATTTCCCCCTGGCTTAATGGATTTTTGCGCTCCAGAATTAGTATTTTGATTTTTAGCTGTGAAGATAACATAGCATGTGATTATGAAAGATGTTTAGAGATTTCGTATTTTTGCGGGATTTTTTGCCGCATAGTGAGGTTATTTGGATTTTTTTCTTGATTTTTGTCACATGAGATTTTTCCCGTTTTTATGCCTTTTGTGCTGTGTAACAGCAGTACAAAACGGATATTGTTACGGGGTTGTCTGTGTGTGTGTTTGTCTGCGTTTGTGTCCGCAGCAACTTGTCCGCAACTTTCAACTCGGGAACCACAAAAGCTAGGAAGCTGGAAATTTAGGGTAACGTTTCCCGCAGCAACTTGTCCGCAACTTTCAACTCGGGAACCACAAAAGCTATGAAGCTGAAAATTTAACGCAGCAACTTGTCCGCAACTTTCAACTCGGGAACCACAAAAGCTAGGAAGCTGAAAATTTAAGGGGTGTCCGCAACTTTCAACTCGAGAACCACAAAAGCTAGGAAGCTGAAAATTTAGGGTAATGTTCCCCACCCACGTGTGACTGTCCGCAACTTTCAACTCGGGAACCACAAAAGCTAGGAAGCTGAAAATTTAGGGTAACGTTCCCCACCGCAACTTTCAACTCGGGAGATTGTTACGGGGTTGTCTGTGTGTGTGTGTCCGCAGCAACTTGTCCGCAACTTTCAACTCGGAAACCACTGTTTGTGTGTGTGTGTGTGTGTGTGCCCGCAGCAACTTGTCCGCAACTTTCAACTCGGGAACCACAAGGCTGAAAATTTAGGGGAACGTTACCCACCCACGTGTGACCCCGCAAATTTAAATTCAGCTCCCCCGTAAAAATTTAGGGTAACGTTCCCCACCCACGTGTGACCCCGCAAATTTAAATTCAGCTTCCCCGTACCGGCGGGTAACGCGTACGGCCCTGTGAAAGTTTTTTACGGGTAAGTTAGTATCTCGGGAACTACGGAGTTTAGGAGGCTGAAATT